ACGTTATCTACATTTTTCTGCAGTAAAATAGCTAAACAATGGAATCAAGAAACCTTTCATTCTCTCTTTCTTCTATTTTTCAATATTGTTTTGTTTTCGGAAAGAAAAACATATCTTCTTTCTTAGGTATATATAATAATCTCTTTAATAAGTACAGATTAATGAAAACACCAAACAGTTTTAATCGAAACGTGTTGATGTCCAGATTGTGACAGGATAAAATTTTCTAGATTCTCCGTGTTTTCTAGATTCACGTTATATGCAATAATCTGTGTCATAGGCGGATTCAGGATTTAAATTATATGGGTTCAACCTTTAAAGTTTTTATTACTGAACTCATTATATCCTTAAAGTTACGGGTTCATATCTATAATTTATTGCGATTTTAGTGATCTTTTTCATATAACTTTATACTATACGCCCCTGATCCGTGTAGTTTATTCTATTACTGTATTATAGTTATCATTTCACTAACCTATCAGTAATATATTATTATAAATATTTACTTGTCACGACCGTATAAATTATCTAAATATGTACATAATCTTTGCACAATCAATATACAACTATAACAACAACCCAGTAAATCTTATTAGTGGGGTCTGGTGATTTTTAAAAATACCCAGATTTACAACTGGTCGTTCAAAAATAGCCCAATTTTAAAAGTAATCGAAATTTAGCCACTTTTTATGTAAAGATAAATCTGAGCGAAAACACTGTTCAAAACCCGAAAAATACTCCAGTATATTATGCTGGAGTTCCAGCATAAGTATACTTGAACTCCAGCATATTATACTGGAGTTCCAGGATAGTATGCTGGAACTCCAGCATAATATGATGGAGTTCCAGCATAAATACACTAGAACTCCAGCATAATATACTGGTGTTCTAGCAAGTATAATGGTCCAGTATAATATACTGGAGTTTGGAGCACCAGTGCTCCAGTCTCCAGTATAGTATACTGGAGCCAGCAAAGTATACCGGTCCAGCATAATATGCTGGAGTTCATACACAAGTGCACCGAAACTCCAGTATATTATGCTGGACCGGTCTCTATTGCAGCAAAACGGTGGCTATTTTTCATTGACTTGGTAAAAGCTGGCTATTTTTGATTGACCAGTCCGAAAACTAGCTATACCGTAAAATTTTGGCAAAGGTAGTGTATACGCAGATTTTACCCCTATCCCGAAAGGGTAGTGAGGCTATTTCCGAAAGATCCTCGGCTCAAAAGGACAAAAGACAAAAGGAGACAATATCAGTATTACCACAAAAATCATAGTAAAAATAAGAACACCATGAAATCCAGAAGAAAGATGTAAAGCAAAAGCGATAGCTAGTAAATCAGTCCGGCACTGAAAAGCTAAATAGTATGACACGACATTGCCACTAGCTAACTTAGACAAAACCCCTACCAGACTAGTCTCACAACGGTACGAAGTAATGCAAAGACTCAACCACCTCCTAACCTATAACCCTAGTACTCGACCTCCACATCTTCCTATCAAGTGCCATATCCTCAGAAATCTGAAGCATTACTAAAATGTGAAAGGAAGATTACCCTCACTCATGTTAAGAGAATAGTCTTCAAAGTTTTTACTGGTAAGATAGCTCAATATGATTAAATCATTAAAACATTTATTTCACGTTTCATAGTGAATTTTACTATAACAATAACGTTGGCTTTTAGTAACTTGTAAAAGGGGTTTGAGGAATGATAATTTACAATAATCATATGTTTATTTTTCATGACAATAGCGCTCGGATCGATTACGCATACTTCAACTATTAAACCAAGTGTTGCTATCTTCCACCATGTATCAAGTAACACTACCTATCAATGGTAGGCTAGAAACCTGTATTTTAGCCATAGTATTGCACTCTAATTACTGTAATTTACGTGCGTTTGAGCTTAAATAATAGTAGCGAATTACACTTATTACGTATCTATGCCTTGCAGGAAACGATTATGAGCTATTAAGGTAATTTGGAGCTAAATTAAATAAGTTGGAGCTCTGAAGTCTGAGTAGAAGCCCAAACAATTAAGTCGGAATCAAGTTCGGTGGTCGAGGACCAAGTCCGGATGTCAAAAAGTGGACAAAACTATTTACTCTGAGAAAATCTCACAGTCGCGCGGCATGGGGCGCGGGGAGGCGCGGTGCGACAATGTAAAATAGGCTCTGACAGGCTTTTGTATGGTCTCTAAATTTCCTCACAAGCGCGGCGCGGGTGTACAAAATTGTCAGAGTAATTTCATATTTCGGCTAGGAAAGGGTAGCCGGGCTTGTTTCTACATGGTATAAATACACCAAAAATACGATTTTTGGAGGACTTTTGACCTAGGAAAGATTGGAGAACCAACCAAGGAAAGAATACTCAAGAGTTCATCAAGATTTCAATCAACAAACGGTGCAATACGGGAGTTTGTATCGAATCATTAGCATTGATGTTTTCTTTGTTTTAAAACCTTATTGAGATGACTTTTTCCATTTCTATGGAGTAAATTCCATTAGGGCATTGACAGATACAATGCTTTGATAACTTGATTAGTGATTCGATTCTTGATAATTGTTGGAATTAATTGATGGAGTTTTAATTTGTATTGTGGAGTTATTTATTATTTTGCTTAATCGAAAGAGGAGTTTGATATTGAATTTCTTTACATCTTATGCTCTAGTTTAAATTCGTGATTCAAATAGGTAATCGAAAGAACCTCTTGAATTGTTAATCAAACTAGAAAATAAGGAAATATTTGTGAGAAGTTACCCTTTAGATCATACCCATCATTTTATTGTTGCAATTATTTACCGTGCTTCAATTGGATTAATTATTAAATTTAATATTTAATCGAAAGAGGAACATGAACTTCAAGTGTAATCTGATTATCCGTTGAATTCGTGAGAATCAACAGTATTATAAAGTGAACTAACTCAAGAATTGGGTCCCGAGTCAATTATCTTGCACCTATCTAGTCAATTACCCTTATTTCTCGCATTGATATTTCTTCGCTGCTCATCTGCTGTCTTTGGTGATCAATTGTTAATTGCTTAATTTTTAGTAGTTAATCATAGTAATAGTCATCAAATCAAGTGTTAATTTTCCTCGATAGTAATCAATTGAAGATTATTCAAACACTAATTAAATCTAATCCCTGTGGAGACGATAATCAATCTATACTATCTTTGACTAGCGAGCAATAATTTTGTGTTGTGTTTTGTCGTCGTTGTCGGGGATTGGCAATCAATAGTGTTTTAAAATAGTTTTTAGTACTAATTCACGATCCAATTTTTACTTTAGTTTATTCACGTTTCTCACTTGTGTGCAGGATACAGATTTGATTATTCGGGTGTATGACTCAATCTTCTTCAAAGGAAGTGATACCCTACGAACCAGAGTTGGAGAAACACCTGCGACAACTGAGAAAAGAAAGAGAATTAACAAAAAATTTCTTAGGTCATACTTCAACTCAAGATAACATGGCAAATAAAGAGATTGATAGAGTAGACTTAGCTGCAAGAGAGGCAACACAACAAAAAGCTGTATGGATAGCAGCTGAAGCAACCCGGAGAGTTGCTGAGGAGACTGTCGAAGATGGTGGGGGTCGAAGATTCAATCTAAACTGACCCTTGGTTGAAGACAAGTTCGAGAATGCAGCACCCAAGGCCTGGAAGATCATTGGGTGACTATGCCAGACAAGTCTATAATCAAGAACTGTTAAGTGTCAGACCTCCACCCATAGTAGCAAACAACTTCGAGTTGAAGCAAGGCTTGCTTCAAACCATCCAAAACAACTGCATCTTCAGAGAAAATGTGAATGAAGATCCAAATACTCACTTGATGGACTTTGAAGATATCATGAACACCTTCCAGTATAATGGAGTATCAAAAGATGCGGTCTACTTAAGGGCATTCCCCTTTTCATTGAAAGATGATGCGAAGCACTGGCTTCGTAGCTTACCCACATGGTCGATTAGGACATGGGAAGATATGACCAAAATGTTTCTTGACAAGTAATTCTCAGCTGCAAAAATAGGGAAATTTAGATGGGAAATCCATAATTTTCGCCAGAAGGAGACAGAAACGGTTTTTGAAGCTTGGGAAAGATTCAAGGAGATAGTTAGAAAGTGTCAGCACAATGGAATTGATTTGTGAATGCAACTCCAGGATTTTTGGGATGGATTGACACCTTCCTCGCAACGAACTCTGAATACTGCATATGGAGGTCCACTAATGAAGAAAACTCCAGAAGAGGTTATCTTAACCCTGGATGAATTATCTGAGGATGCTAACCAGTGGCTTGTTGAGAGTAATGATAGAAGAAAATCAGTTGGGGTTCACCAGCTAGACACTATGTCCAAGGAGATAAGAAAGCTGACATTGGCCAAGGTACAGAGTGAGCCGCAAGCATCATGTGACTTTTGTGAAATGGGACACCCTACACATGAATGTCAAGCTTAAGCTGAGGAAGTCAATGATGTGGGGAATTATAATAGAGGAAACTACTATAATGCTATGGGTCAAAGACATCCACATTTTTTATGGAGTTCACATAGTGAGAGTTTGAACTCATGGTAGAAAAATAATCCTAGACCCTAGGGTCAAGGACCACCAGGTTTTCAGAACCAGTAGAGGCAGCAATACTAGCCACAACAGTCCAAATTAGTCTAGTATGGAAGATCTCATGAAGGCATTCATCAACAAAACAGCTGAAAGAATTGAGACTCAAGGGAACGACTATCCGGAATTTAGAAAGGCACATGGGATAAATTGCAAATTTGTTATCTGAGAGGGCTCCTGGAACTCTACCCCCTGACACTGGAAAGATCCCAAAGGAAACAAGTAAAGCTGTACCTCTCAGTAGTGGAAAAATATTAGCTGACCCAGTGGTGAAAGCTAGACCCGAGGTGGTGAACAAGAAGGCTGAAACACCGGAATAGAAAAAGAGTAAAGAGAAGAAAGGCCAGAGTAGCGGGGTACAAAAGGAGATTGAATAAAGTAGACATATGTCAACTCTACCATTCCCTCAAAAGATAAAGCGGGAAAAACTTGACAAATATTTTGGGCAGTTCTTGGAGATGCTCAAGCAACTTTATGTGAACATTCCCTTCACGGAGGTACTCACTCAGATGCCTCCTTATGCAAAGTTCTTGAAGGAAATCCTGTCTAGCAAGAGAAAATTGGAGGAGACAACAATGGTCAAGCTGAATGCTCACTGCAGTGCCATATTGCAAAATAAAATTTCCCAAAAGTGTACGGACCCAAGAAGCTTCACCATACCATGCTCGTTGGGGAGTGAGAAATTCGATAAGGCCCTCTGTGATGCTGGTACGTCTATAAATCTAATGCATTTGTCTGTATTCAGGAAACTGGAAGGTGAGCTTGGAGTGATCAAATCAATACCAGTGTCCCTACAACCGGATGACCAGATTAGCATTTTGCCTGAGGGAATCATTGAGGATATTCTAATACGGGTGGACAAGTTTGTATTCCCCGTAGACTTTATTATGGTGGATATGGAGGTGAACAAGGAGGTGCCTCTAATTCTAGGGAGGCCATTTTTATGACATGCAGAGCTATCCTTGATATCTACGAGGGGCAGCTTATGCTCAGAGTGGGCAATGAGAAAGTTGTGGTCCAAATGAAGAGGATGATGAAATACTAGTGATGAGACGTCTACCTACTCGTGCTTCAGATAGATGTTGTTGGGGAATTGGCTGAAAAATACAAGTTTGACAAGCTTGTGGGGGATATTCTAGAGAGGTGTATTACTCAATCTAGCACAGTGGAGGATGAAGATCCTGAAATAAAGAAAGAAGCTGAAGCTCTTGAAATTGAGGATTAAGTGGTTGATGAGGAGGAACTAAAAGAGGGGGCTTCTAAGCCTAGTGTGGAATTGAAAGTCCTCCCTACTCACTTGAAATGTGTTTCTTGAAACTAACAATTTTCCTATGATTATTTCTGCTTACTTGACAGGTACACAAGAGAAAAAGCTGGTAGAGCTGGTGAAAAAGTACGAGAAGGCCATTGGCTGGAGTATAGTTGATATTCAAGGAATCAGTCCAGTCATTTGCATGCACAAAATTCTACTGGAAGAAAATTGCAAGCCAGTGGTGTAGCCCCAACAAAAGTTGAACAAAAATTTGGAGGAGGTAGTGCACAAGGAGATCATCAAATTGCTAGATGCAGGAGTGATTTTCCCCACCTTTGATAGCTAGTGGATTAGTCTAGTGCAGGTTGTACCTAAGAAGAGGGGCATGACAGTAGGGAAGAATGAAGACAATGAATTGATCCCCACAAGAACAGTCACTAAGTGGAGAATGTGCATTGATTCTAGAAGGCTGAATGATGCAACAAGGAAGGACCACTTCCCACTTCCCTTTATTGATCAAATGCTTGAGAAAGTGGCTGGACATGGATGCTATTGCTTCTTGGATGGGTAATCAAGATACAATCAGATACCCATTGCCCCAAAAGATATTAAGAAGACCCACATGTGAGTCAGGTATTTTTGCTTACAGGAGGATGCCATTTGGGTTGTGTAATGCACTTGCCACTTTTCAGGGATGCATGATGTCTATATTCTCCGATTTAAACTGGAAGTGTCTAGAGGTATTCATAGATGATTTCACCCTCTTTGGTGATGACTTTGAGGATTACTTGAAGAATTTGGAGATCGTGCTTGAATGTTGTGAAGCCACTCACTTGGTTCTTAACCGGGAGAAGTGCCACTTCATGGTAAAAGAGGGAATTATCCTGGGCCACAAAGTGACTACACATGCATTGAAGTTGATAGAGGTAAAGTTGATGTAATTTCTAGGCTCCCTCCACCGACTTCTGTCAAAAGCATAAGGAGTTTCTTAGGACATATCGGGTTCTATAGGAGGTTCACCAGAAACTTTTCCGGCATTACTAAGCCATCGACTGCATTGCTAGCGAAAGATGTCAAGTTTATTTTCAGTGGAGTGCTTAAGATCATTCGAATTGATAAAGAAAAAGCTTATGAGTGCTCCTATTATGGTGAAACTTGATTGGAGCCAGCCATTTGAGATAATATGTGATTCCAGCGATGTAGTTGTGGGGGCAGTTCTGGGGCAAAGAAAAGATAAGATGATTAGGCCCATTTACTATGCATGCAGGACGTTGAATGATGCTCAAGTCAACTATGCCACTTCTGAGAAAGAGATTTTTGATGTGGTCTTTGCTTTTGACAAGTTTAGATCATATATGGTGGGGAGTAAAGTGATTGTACACAGTGATCACTCAGCCTTGAAATACCTATTGAGTAAGAAAGAGCCCAAGCCGCATCTGATGTGGTGGGTGCTGTTGCTCCAAGAGTTTGACTCGGAGATCAAAGATAGAAAGGGCATAGAAAATCAAGCCGTATATCATATATCTCGACTTGAGAGACCTCCGGTTGAAACAGTTGAAATAAGGGAAGAGTTCACTGATGAGCAGATTTTCTCCATTGTTGCGGTCTTCGATAGGCCGCCTTGGTATGGTGATGTAGCTAATTTTTTGGCTAGTGGATGGTTGCCTCGCGAACTCTCTCATGATCAAAGAGGGAAGCTTCAAGGGGAGGTGAAAAGTTATTTTTGGAATGATCCTTTCTTGTTCAAACTGTGTGCAGACAGTGTGATTCGAAAGTGTATGCCTGAAAGAGAGATGTCAACGATTCTTTCTCATTGCCATGATGGAGCAGCTGGAGGAAACTATGGTGGAAATCGCACTGCAGCAAAGGTCATGGAATCCAGTTTCTATAGGCATACTTGGTAAAAAGATGCACGGGTGTATGTAGCTACATGTGACAAGTGTCAAAGGGCAGGTAACAATAGCAAGAGGGATGAGGTTCCACTAAACTCCATTCTGGTATGTGACATTTTTTACCTTTGGGGCATTAACGTCATGGGCCCGTTCTCATTGTCTCATTCTTATATGTAAATCCTAGTAGCCGTTGACTACGTCTCTAAACGGGTCGAAGCAATCCCTACTAGGGCCAATGATGCTCGGGTGGTGTGTGAGTTCTTACAGAAGAACATCTTTACCCGCTTTGGGACACCTCGAGTGATTATCAGTGACAATGGGTCGCAGTTTGTGAACAAGAAGTTCGCTGCATTGCTATCTAAGTATGGGGTCACAGACAAAACAGGAACCTCGTAGCATGCCAAACTAGTGGGCAAGTGGATAATCGTGAACTTAAACGAATTCTTGAAAAGACAGTTAGTGCTTCTCGTAAGGATTGGTCTGTAAAGTTGGATGAAGCTCTATGGGCGTACAGAACTGTGTTCAAAACGATCATAGGGACTTCACCATTCAAACTATTATATGGAAAATCGTGTCATCTACCCATTGAGATAGAACATAAAGCTTACTGGGCAATTAAGATGCTTAATCTTGATCTTAGTCTTACGGGTGAGCGCAGAAGAGTGAATTGGAAGAGTTTAGACTGGATGCGTATGAAAATGCACAAATTTTCAAGGAAAGACAAAGAGGTTACATGATCGTCTGATTAAGCCAAAGAAGTTGCTTGAAGGGGACAGAGTCTTACTATACAATAGTAGACTTAGTTTGTTCCCCAGAAAATCCAAGTCAAGATGGACAGGTCTGTATGTGGTGAAACATGTCTCACCGTATGGCGCCATTGAGATCCAAGATGAGAAAGGGAATGAAAGCTTTAAGGTGGATGGGCACAGGTTAAAACCATACCTTGTTGGAGGATTTTACAAGAAATCCTCTAGCATCGTGATCAAATGAGACTAAGTGATGAAGTCAAGCTGACGACTATAACTCAGAACTACTTCTAATCCTTTTTCTTGCTTTTGTAGAATAGTTAGATAATTGTAGTGTAGGATTATTAGAGTTTAGGAGTTTTGATAATTTTTTTAACAGTTATGAGCATGAATTGGACACAAAATAAGTACATAATAGAGTTGGGGCGAAACTCATAGGCTAAAACGTGAAAAGAACTCTGAGAAAATTGGCCTAGAGCGCCGCATGGGGAGCCGCACTAGGCCAAAGGGTCGACTCTGACAGAAACATAGCTCTCTGAACTTCTCCACTATCGTGTCGCATGAAGCACCGCATCCTGTGACGCGGCTGTATAATTTTTGTCGGCCAGATTTTAAAAAAAATTGAAAAAATTAAAAAATATGGACGTCCGGTTCTACTCTAACCCCCGTTCCCCCCCTCTTTTCTCTTTTATTCTTTTACTCTCCTCTCTCATTACACTCTAACTCAACTCCCAAACTCTTTCTTCTTCTCCAATTCCTTCCACACCCACCTCCTATCACTCCCATCCATCTTCAAGGTAAGTTCTTTCTCTCGTCTCTTCTCTTTCTTTTAGTATTTAATTGTAGTATTTAAGTAGTTTTAGTTTAGTTCAACCAAACCCAAGGTAGTTGCAGTTCTGCTAATTTGTTTAGTTTCTTTGCTTATTATGGCAAAAAATTGTGCTTAATTTGCGGAGTTTTCATTGTTCTTATGATTGTGGAGGATTTTTGGTATGTCTTGGTGCTTATTGCATTATTTTTTGATGGAGTTTGGTGGGGGTGCCAATATGGCCGAAAATTGGAGGGTGTTTTGTGCAAAATTGGAGCACTTTGTGCTATTGTTACATTGTGGTGGTATTGTGGTTGTTGTTGGGCGGTTGATTGGTGTTGTTGTGTAGTGGTCCTAGACCGATTGAAGTTGAAATTATGAGTTGAACTTGATGAATACAATATGTTTGATAAAATTTCCCAATGACATAGAAGGTGAAGTTGTGCTTAATTAGAGGAAATTTGTTATGAGATAATGTGATGCTTGATGATAAGTGTGGGGTGGGAGGTCATGTTCTTATGTTGTGAAACTTTAATGTGTTAGCCCCGAGTGCTAATCGATTGACGACCCCATGCTACTGTGTTCCTAGGTGCTAATTGGGGGTCTAATTCATGCTAAGTACTTGTGTAGTGTTGTATTGTAACTTCCTAATTTTGTTAGTGGTAAATTAGAATAACTTCTTATTCTTATTTTATTAGTTACTAGTTTAGCTTCTTGCTTTTATATTTTACACTAGTGTAGTCCATGGTTATGTTGTTGTAAAATTATGTTGGTGATTGGGTGGGTTGTTGATTACTTGTAGCGTGCTTTCAATGGGGTAGTTTGAGTCTCTGATATACATTGTACTTGTGAACATGCCAATAACATAAGTCTGGGGTGGTTACCCTATTTGGTATTGTTTTTGTTTTAAGTGTTGGGCTAATTTTGTTTGTCTTGTGCAGGTACAATGTCTCGTCATCCTAGCAAACGAAACACAGGTTCCTCCGAGGTTGCCTCTAGTAGCCGTCGAGGAGGTAGGCGGGAACCTCCCCCCGCCCTAGTGGAGGAGGAAGAGAAGCGCATTGATCCAGATGTGGATGTAGTACTGGGCTGCAAGTATGACATTCGGGCTGTGCCAACTCATGCTAGGATGTGGTATCGGGGTTCATAGAGCACTCTCATAAGTTGTTCTTGAGGTTGCTGCGTCGGTCCCCCTATCCTGATATTAGACACTAGCTGTGTGGCGCGGGTTCTCTTGCCACATGGACGCTAGATGCTAATGAGTTCAACAAAGACATGAAGAAGTGCAATTTCCAGCGTCCCGCTAGAGTCATTCTCCGGTTGATTAATGCAAAGATCATGCCTACCCCGAACGATACTGATGTCTCCAGGTTGAATGTGTGTCTCCTTTATGCCTTCTTGACTCAGATGAAGTTTTATCTGGGCAAGATTATTCTTGAGCACATGGCTCGAGTACGACCACTTGGGGCCCACTGCCTGTATTTCCTAAGCATGATCACTCGGCTTTTGAGGATGCACCATGTGGAG